TAAGAACTCAGTCTTCTGCTACTGAAATCATTGGGGTTTTGCTGTTGATTGAGGGGGAGAAATGTTCAAAAGCAGCTAGAGGATTTAGGAGTACAAGTCCTTACTCACATTGACTTTCATGATCAATTGAAAGGACTTGTGCTTCTAAATCTCCACCCTTAAATGAGACAGACTCAAACCCTAACTTTATTGTGTGGGGCACAATCTCTTTATGCTCAGGGCCAAAATCACCCGACTCCCGGGCTGCCAGTGGAGCGTCTCAGGGTGAATTTGGCTCTTAGGTTGGAGAGAGGGTTCAAAGCAGGAAGAGAGGGTCAAATTCTGAATTTCCCTTTCTGCTGGGTCCACCCGTCCCCCAAGGCATCACAGATTGTATACGCCTAACTTTATTGTGTGGGGCACAATCTCTTTATGCTCAGGGCCAAAATCACCCGACTCCCGGGCTGCCAGTGGAGCGTCTCAGGGTGAATTTGGCTCTTAGGTTGGAGAGAGGGTTCAAAGCAGGAAGAGAGGGTCAAATTCTGAATTTCCCTTTCTGCTGGGTCCACCCGTCCCCCAAGGCATCACAGATTGTATACGCCAAAATAGGGGTATTCAAAATAAGCCTGGAAATGTTGGTCTTGGTGAACAGTTGGCAGCACATTTAGCAAACACACGGCAGCCCATCCAAGAGTAGCATCTCAAATCACAGGTTCTGGAGCCCATTTTCTTTCACAAATCTGTGACTGTTTGTGAGGACTAGTTTCCACACATTATGGTTGTTAAGGCTTTGTCTGCCCTGAAGTGGGGAATGAGTCTCCCAGCCTGGGGTAGTCAGAGGCGTGCTAGGTAGCGTGCTGAAAATAGTTGTGTGGATGTTGCAGCTCAGATGGTAGCTTGGGCCCCTCAGACTGAGATTACGTGGCTAACCCTGGTTCAAGGGAAGTAGTGGGGGCAAAAGAGCTATCTGGTTTCAAGATTAAATTAGATGGGTCTATGAAGGGGATGGTTTGATGAGAAAACATGATCATGATCTTGGGAACTAATTGACCATTCATTATCAGTGGGAAATAGGTCAATGGAGGGATGATAGGAGTTACTATAGAGAACTTTCTGGGTGACTGGCTGATGAGTCTTGCCCACATGCTCAGGGTTTAGCTGATCGCCATATTTGGGGTCGGGAAGGAATTTTCCTCCAGGGTAGATTGGCAGAGGCCCTGGAGGTTTTTCGCCTTCCTCTGTAGCATGGGGTATAGATCACAGCTAGAGGATTCTCTGCATCTTGGGGTCTTCAAAGTATTTGAAGGCTTCAATATCTGAGATATAGGTGAGAGGATTATTCTAGGAGGGGTGGGTGAGATTTTGTGGCCTGCACTGTGCAGGGGGTCAGACTAGATGATCGTAATGGTCCCTTCTGACCTTAAAGTCTATGAGTCTCTGAGTAATGGAGCTGCTAATCTTAGCCCTACACGTACAAGTCTGCCTGCCCTGGCTGGGAGGCCAGTGCCTAGCTGCAGTGTAGACATATTGTACGTGGGTGGCACAAAAACCCGTTTTTCTACCATGTTGGCCGTGGTTTATGTTTTTTCTGTCAGGGTTTATTGCTAAGATAAGGCCTTATTACAGAGAGAGAGAGAGAGATGCATGGAGATTTGGCAAAGCAAGGAAATGGGTTCCTTTCAAACCAAGTATTTTGGTTTGAATAAATTGTGGTTGGTGGGTTTGGATTCTTGTCCCCTTGTGAAATTCTCAATGGGCATCTTTTCAGCTCAGTTTCTTTGATACCATTTTACAAACAGTAACAAGGGCTGTGGAAAGAAACCGAGGTTTGGTTTTCAGTGGATATTTTAATCCTGATACCACTTTCAGACTGGAAATATAGTAACACAAGGCATTTATAATGCCATCTGTGGCCTCAGTCCTGCTCCCAACGAACTCAGCCAGAGCTTTGCCATTGACTGAAGTGGAAGCAGGAACAGAACAGAACAGAACAATAGATTTAACAGTATCACTGGGACAGTATTTAATTTCAGAATGAAGCCTATATGCCCTAATATATTTGAATGATCGTTTCCCTACTAAACCAATAGTACCGATAGTATTTATTGGGACCTTAGCCTCCTCTGGTTTTATTTTAGGTATTATCTATTCCAGTGGTGTTCAATCTTTTTTCATCTGCATACCCCTAAACATTTAGAATGGAGGCATAGAGTCTCCTGGAAATCTTAGATGTAGCCTGTAGAACACAAGGTGGAAATAACTTCAGAGGAACGAGCTAAAGGAGGCTACATTTAGAGAAGAGCTTCTGGAAAGAAATTCCAGTACTGGAAAGAAGGCTGGATCTGAGCTAGAACTTATGGAGATTGCCATTTTCTCAGCTGAGCCCTGATCTGCAAAATGGACCAAACCAAAATATTGGATCTCAATTCCCTCCCAAAGTTGGGAGATTCCAGATTTGTGCTCAAGGTAGAAGGGTAGGTGCCAACAATTCTTTTTCCGTTGTACTAATTGATACACCTAAGCTGCTTCTCAACTAAAATACTTCAATTACTGCAGTTTAATTTAATTCAGAGAGCACCATCTGTATGTGCATTGCGAATATAGGGTCAAATCCGGTGGATCTTATTCAGGGCCAAATCCTAAGCAAATTGGCAAATATCCATTAACTTCAATATATCTGATCTCTTCACACTAACAAATTGACTCTTGTTTATCTCCCCCTTTGCTCCCAATTAAGGCAAAACCTCTATTGGGATCAATGGGAGGTTTTATAAAGTAATAACTAGCTCAGAGGTGAGTGGGAGCATTAGCATTTGCCCTGTAATTATGCACACAATAGGTGCACTTCAAAATTGCCATTTACCTCACTAGTATTTTTACTTTAGAGCAAGTTTGTCTGTATTTTAAAGGGCCTACACTGTTCCATTTGAAACCCACAGGAATTTTCCCACTAATCTAAGTGGAAGCAAAATTGGGCTCAAAATGTGTAACTCAGTGAAGCTGTCTACACAGTAGTGTTGTTATTACAAAATAACAGTCTGTGTCTACACTACAAGCAGTTATTTCGACTTGATGTTGAAATAAAGTCGATCTGAAGGACTTCTTACTCTGACTCCTGTAACCCTCATTGTATGAGGACTAAGGGAAATTGGAGGGAGATGCTCTCCCTCAGACTTCCTGCTGCGTAGACAGCACCAAACCCCGAAATAAGCTATTTTGACTTAAGCCACGCAATAAACGTAGCTGAAGTTGTGTCGCTTATTTCAGCTGTAGCCCTGCTGTGTAGATGTACCCTGAGGGATTAAAGCTTAATGTGGTGTAAATCGTGCTGACTTGTTGGGTCAGATCCTCAGCTGGCATAAATCAGGGTAGTTTATTTCAGGTAAACTGATTAGTACCAGGTGAGTTTGTAGCCCTTTGAAGGGCAGCAACTGTTATTCACAACTGTTAAGTTTAATACATGGGAAATCAATTTTCTGGGCCATAATCTGCACAGGTGTAAATGGGCACAGTTCCAGTGCATTCAGGGAAATGTGTTATGTCAGCAGTGAATTAAATTCAACTGTGTGTTCTGTTGGGTTTGGGAACTTTTGTCAAAGAACAAACAGGCCATTTGACTGAAACCCAAAGGGTTAATGTGTGGAACTGATGCAAGAGCGATAAAAACATGATTTGTAGGCAAACTGTAGTGAGATCTAGTCTGAACTTGGTGTAATAGCACTATGCAGATTTTGCATATTTAATGGGGATGATTATATGTGGTTAATTTCCTCCCCCCCACTTCAAATCAAACATCACTGTTCTGATTTGCCCCATACAGCAACTCAACAGCATAATCAAAGCAAACAAATAGAATAAATGCTTACCTAGTTTTCCTTTGTTTATAAAAACAAGACAAACTATTCAAGGTGGTACACCAGCCACCTTCAAACCTCAGACAGAATCCAACTTTCTAAAACACATTGTGGGTGCAATATAAGAAGCAGGTTTTGGTCCATCGGGAGGCCTGGTCTCTGCACAGAATGGCAGATGAGGCATGCAAAGCTAAAAAATATGAAGACAGGCAAAAATTATAATCACCACCACATGGGCCAGTTTCAGCTCACACCCAGGTGTTAGCTTAGACTGAGACAGTTCATCAATCACTGTGGCATCACTGTGGATTTACAGGAGTGTAGCCAAAGATCAGAAACTGCCTGCTCCTGGGTCTTATAGATTCTGAGAAATGTGCAGCATTATTTGAATGAATAGAAAAAGATACAAAAGAGTCATATTATGTCATAATGGGGCCCAATGCTGGTTTGGGCAGATGCCCACATAAATCTTCAACTGGCCAGTGTGTATCTGAAGCAAAATTTGCCTCCGAATATTTCCTATAAAAGGAAACTCTGGTCACATATAAGCCAGCCGGAGTATTCTTCCTCTCAGTTTATTGACACATGAGCAGCTGGTTTTATATTTGGAGATGACTTGGCCACCCATCTGAAGTTACTCTCTCTAAAGTTCTCGTAGGCTGGGTCATTTTGTATTTCTTATTTTGCCCTGTGCTACCCCAGAAGCAAACACAAATGTCACCACTAGTGAAGGTTCCTACAAGGGGTTACCGGGACAACTCATCTGTGGACCTACAGCACTTCCTAATATTTCCACTCTGGGCCCAACCATTCTCTGCCATAGCACCTCAGTCCTGCCTGCTGTCCCCTTGTGGAGACTCCAGTCTATGCTCCATACAGTCTGCTACTGTGGTGCACACCTTGTAATAAAACACAAGAGCACTTGAGAAGAGGCTAGTCTTTATTTCCTGGCCACAGTGTCAATTAACTTCATGTGAATCATGCGTAATCCTACTGCCCGTGTCATTAGCCACAGTAAAGGGCAGGTTCAAAGCTCTCTAGCACTTTTAAAATAACAAAGATTAGCTGAAACTCATCTTGAAACCCACCTCCAGCCCATCCAGTCTCACAAAGACAACTCCATGCAGGTCGTGAATCTCTGGCCAGCCAACCCAAAGCAAAGCCCACCCCAAGGCACATCCTCCAATTTTTCTTACATGGTGTCTTCTCCTTTTGTTGAGTTGTGCTCAGTATCCAATGAGAATCAGCTCACGGTTATTCGCTTTCCCCAGGCTAAACCATTCATAATCTCTCTCTTCTTGCATAAATATATTTCAATGCACATTTAATATCATTTCCAAAATGAGAACATACAGTAACTCCAAACAATACATCATAAATTACTCTACAGGAATGCACTAACGTAAAATTGTAACATGCAAAGTAATCCTGCCAGATCTAGCATTCCACATTCTACTATGGGGGAGCAACAAGCTTCTTTTTCCCTATAAGACTTCTAGCTCCAGAGTCTATGGTTGTGGGGGAACGGGGAGAAAGATTTCTGCTATGTTGAGCAGCATGGAGACGGTAGCAACATTTGTTTCACTGCTCAACATATCCTACTATTGTTCAGGTAGCAAGTACTTCTCTAGCCTTTGGAGTTGACTGCCCAACATAGCTCTTCTAAAGGTCCTGAAGATCTCATGATTCATGAGGATCACAGAGAACATTCACTGTGGGCTCTGGAATAATTCTGCTTTGAGCTGGGAGACAGGATGAAAGACGCCTCAAGAGAATCATGGTAAGCAATGTTTTTCCTCCTTGTAAAGACTCTGTACTATATACTGGGCACTAATCAGCATGGGCTCAGTATAGTTGGCACCTGTGGTTTTTTTGTTTTCTTTGAAATGGGAACAGTTGCTCGGTCTGTGGCGCATGTCCCGGCCTGCCTTGCGATGAGCAGCCTGCCAGCTTTCTTAATCTGGATCTTGTTTCTTTTCTGCATGTTGAAATTTAGTGTTCGTGGAGGGATTTACTCTACAAAACTCATTCACTGATGGCCAATTTGTATATACCATCAATAGCAGGAAAACATTTATAAGGTGACAGAATGTGGAAATGTTGCATCTCATTGAAAGCCCTGTTAGCAGTTTACACTGGGTAGGGCTTGTTCTTAATATGGCGCAGGAGGTTTTCTTTCGTTCTTTCTTTTGTTCTTTTTATTCAACTTCATGGAGCATGGCCTAATTTGTGAGACTGCTGCTGAAATTGTGAATCTGAGAGTGCACAAAATGCTGCTCTGTTTCCCCAACAAGTGTCTTACTGGGCAACTGTAATGTTTGAGTCTAAGGCTACGTCTAGACTACATGCCTCTGTCGCCAGAGGCATGTAGATGAGGCTACCAGGCATAGGAAAATGAAGCGGCGATTTAAATAATCGCCGCTTCATTTAAATTTACATGGCTGCCGCGCTGAGCCGATCAGCTGTTTATCGGCTCAGTGAGATAGTCTGGATGCGCGGGTGTCGACATCAAAGGCATTTGTCGACCACCCAGGTTAACCTCATCCCAGGAGGCATACCTGGGTGGTCGACAAATGCCTTTGATGTCGACACCCACGCGTCCCGACTACCGCGCTGAGCCGACAAACAGCTGATCGGCTCAGTGCGGCAGCCATGTAAATTTAAATGAAGCGGCGATTATTTTCCTATGCCTGGTAGCCTCATCTACATGCCTCTGGCGACAGAGGCATGTAGTCTAGACGTAGCCTAAGTATTAACCTCTGCCACTGTTCAGAGCTGAGGAGCATGATGTATCAAATATATGGCAGCTGATGGGTAAAGATGAATCAGGACCCTACATTCTTTAGGGGAGGTTATGTAGCACATGGCAACAGTTTAGAACAGGGGTGGGGAACGTTTTTGGGGTCAGGGGACTCTGACCCACAGGAAAAATCAGTCAGGGGCTGCACACAAGCGAGAAGCAAAAAAAGAAAAATGAACCCTCATTGGCATGGCCCCCAAATGAGAAACAGAAAGACACTCCCCACATTCCCCTCCCACACCAGAGCCTACGAGGACCTAGGCTAGTAGATTTTGTGTGCTCTAACTCCACGGTGGGGCAGCAGGGGGGCTGGAGCACCAGCTTGGGCTCCCCAATGTTGGGGGGAGCACTGAGCTTTGGGGCCTGGATCCAGGCAAGTTAGGGGCTGCACTCAGGTTCCCCACCCCAGTTTAGAATGCTATTGGAGGCTTAGGTACATGGAAGCAGACAATTTTTTATAATCCGTGAGGGGAATGGGACCAACTGGTTTGCCAAGATCACCTTAAATCTTCATTTTCAATTGAAACAGGTTTCCAGCTCATATGGCTCAGTTTATTTAGTTTACCAGAGAAGGGTAGGCAAGGGAGGGAGGGAAAAAGAATGGTAATGGTAACGAGGAAGAAATTGCCTTATTTGAAGTTCAAAGTATTGTAAAAACCTTTGTAATGCCACAATGAGGGTCCAAGGTCCATGCAGTTTTGCATATTTATTCAAAATTCCACATAAAAGAAACAAGAATATCCATGTCTGGGGACCCAGTGAGACAGCAGAATACATAATGTACACTAAATAACATTTTTAGACCTTACTTACCTGTAACCAGTTTAAATGTGGTTTACCCCAAAAAAGCCGTGGACATAAACATACAATTGTATTGTACACTGTTTTTATAATATACACTCATACATTTTTCCCAATAATTCTTAATATAAACTCTAGTGCAGTATATATACTGAATGTACACTGTGCACTGTCGTACATAACTGATAGTCAGAGTGGATAATTTGCATTGATTCCTGATAAAAAATCACAGAGTGCAGGAGGGACATTCAGGGGCTACGACTAGACTACATCCCTCTGTCGACAGGGGGATGCAAATCAAGCACATCAAAATTGCTAATGAATCCGGGATTTAAATATCCCATGCCTCATTAGCATAAACATGGCTGCCGCTTTTTTTTTCGGAAAAAAAAAAACGGCCGTCTACACCTCAAATGAGGTTTACAGGATCTGTCGAAAAAGGGTTTATTTTCGACAGATCCGTGTCTAGACTGCCTTTTGTTTTGGAAAAGCTCTGTTTTGAAAAAAGCAGTGGCCATGTTTATGCTAATGATATTGGGAAACTCAACAGTCATGGGAGCGGGGAGGAGAATAATAATTAAGATTGTTTCAAATGTTAAAGTAGCTGTAAGGATCATATTGGCTGTTCGGGGAAATTAACCAGATTGTATGAAATGTGGAACCAGATTTTTAAAAATAATCACTTTTTAATTTGATTGGCTGTAGGATACAAATATTATCAGTTGCTTGAACAGCCATTAGATTGGCCCATTGGCGAGGCTGGATGGGAAGATTGCTCCATGATTGGTCATTTTGACCGGTTTTTTGAGCTTTCAGAGATTTTGTAGGCTCGATAACATTTGGTTCCTAATTACATTTCACTTTCTGCTGCTGCTGTTAAACTCTTCATCACAATCTTATTTCAAACTAGAAACTGCACAAAATCAGTTCTCCATAGGACATTAGTATCAATTTCAAAAGAAGAGGCTGTTTATATTTTACCAGCATCCTAATCATCTGCCTTTAAAGACACACAAGTCAACCGTTGCTCTTTCATTAGTACATTCACTGGTCATCATATTAATATGTAAAGGCTGTAATGTAGAACCCATTTGAATCCAAATTTTCTTCTTCCCCCTTGCACTCTGAAAGGGGTAGCTGTATTAGTCTGTAATTGTAAAAACAGAGTCACTCATCAGTCTTATGGAGTCTTTGTAGGCCAACATCTTTCAAACCTTCTGCAAGGGGTGGGGCCCCCATTGGACAGGACTACCATTTGCTAGATCAGAAAGAAGGTCCTGGGTCAGTTTAAATGCAGCATTTTTGTATCAACACACTTTCTTTATCTGTTGGGCTGTGAAAAAATTCAAAATCAAACAGTATATACAAACCTCCCTGGAGGTATTTATTACGTAGGCCATGTCTTCACTAAACGGAAGATTGACACTGCCGCAATCAATCTTCCAGAGTTTGTTTTAGCATGTCCAGTTAAGACCCAATAAGTCAAACTCAGAAGACATCCCCATTGGTAGCCGGTACTCCTGCTTCTGTGAGAAGGAAGGGACGCTGATGGGAGCATTTACTTTAATCTCCTCCCAAGATTTTTGGTGCATGAAGGATTTATGGTAACCCTCATCCTGGAACTGCATATAATCTCTGGCCCACAGTGATACATACATTTAATATAACATGGCCTCCAAAGGTTTTGCATGCATGTCATATAGATCACAGATTTTTTTATTATAAAATTACCAAGGGTGTGTCTAGACTACATGCCTCCTTCGACGGAGGCATGTAGATTAGCCGCGCTGAGCCGACAAACAGCTGATCGGCAGATCGGGGCAGCCATTTAAATTTAAATGGCTGCCCCGATCGAGCCGACAAACAGCTGATCGGCAGATCGGGGCAGCCATTTAAATTTAAATGGCTGCCCCGATCGAGCCGACAAACAGCTGATCGGCAGATCGGGGCAGCCATTTAAATTTAAATGGCTGCCCCGATCGAGCCGACAAACAGCTGATCGGCAGATCGGGGCAGCCATTTAAATTTAAATGGCTGCCCCGATCGAGCCGACAAACAGCTGATCGGCAGATCGGGGCAGCCATTTAAATTTAAATGGCTGCCCCGATCTGCCGATCAGCTGTTTGTCGGCTCAGCGCGGCTAATCTACATGCCTCCGTCGAAGGAGGCATGTAGTCTAGACACACCCCAATAGTCTAGTAATATAATTTTTGCCAAACTTTCATACCAGCTACAATTCATAAAAAATTTATATTTGGTTGATTAAGATACACAGCATGCCAACGTCTTCTTCACTTGTGATAAATATTGAAAAAGCAAACTGTTCAATAAAACCTGAAATACGATACTAACAATATTCCATGCTATCTTAAGATTCGTATGTATTTTGCCTACCTGAACTATACTGCGGCAGTACCACTCTAAGGGTACGTCTACACTAGCCCCCTAGATCGATCTAGGGAGGCTAATGAGGGTGACCAGAATTGCAAATCAAGCCCGGGATTTAAATATGCCATGCTTGATTTGCATGTTCCCGGCCGGTTATCATTTTAGAAATTGACTAGCCCCAAGTAACTGCCCACGTCTACACACGGCAGTGAAACGGGATTCCGATTTAAAGCCCTAACTCGAATTAGCTGGTATTTCTCCTGCAATGAGGTTTACCAGCTAATTCAAATTAGGGGCTTTAAATCGGAATCCCGTTTCACTGCCGTGCGTAGATGCGGGCAGTTACTTCGGGCTAGTCAATTTCTAAAATGACGACCAGCCGGGAACATGCAAATCAAGCGTGGGCTATTTAAATCCTGGGCTTGATTTGCAATTCCGGTTGCCCTCATTAGCCTCCCCAGATCGATCTAGGGGGCTAGTGTAGACGTACCCTAACTACTGTGTAAAGGTGCTATGCACAGATAGGTTTCACCCAGATTGGTCATTTCAGTGGTAAATTAAGTGATCCAAGCATACTGTGAAGTTTGTACAGTGCCATGGGATGAAACTCTGTGTATAAAAGCAAGCTGTTAGAGTAAAACACTTCATTATATCTGAAAATGGTAGAACTTCGTGACACTGACAATTAAATTGGAAAGAAAACTGTTTTGTAAGTTTCAAATTATTGCAGATTTCAAGCAAGAATGAACGTTCACTTTGTAAATTGCTGGACCAATATCTCTTCCACTCAGTCAAGGGCCTTTTCAGAGATAAATTGCTAAAGGAGAGACTCTCAGCCTTGTCCAGAGCCATCAGTCTTGTGAAGGCTTGACGAACAGATCATCTCACGGTAAGCCACCAACACAACTGAAATCACCTTTTTTTCTTGTCTATTCCCCGTTCCGCCTCCCTGTCATTTCAATAGATTCACAGAAAACCTCATTTTGATAATCCAGTCTGACCTCTTGCATAATAAAGGTCATGGGATTTTTCTGCTTTTGTCTCTTCTGCTTCTTTTCCCCCAATCTGTTTTCTTTTCTCCATAACTTTTCTTTTTCTTTGTTTTTTACTTGTTCTTTTTGTTGCACAGTTTGGTGCTTCCTCTACCTGTTGTCCACTGAGCTGATGGTGACAAGCTGCTTGAGATGCAGGTATCCATTGATAGCTCCAAAATCTGGCTCATATTTGTACTGTCAGTTTATCGGAATGCTACAGGAACAGGAGAGAGAGGCTTGGGGTATTGGGCCGGGGTACAGCCTCATACCAGAGAGTTGCTATTGTGGCTAACTGTACTGGAGCCACTGCAAGCTGGAAGGAAATGAAAGTGGCCTTCTAAGAGATACTTGCAGCCACATCAGTGATGCAATTTTTCTTTCACATATAGTGTTATTTTCTGTGGTTTGATTTCCCTAGATGAGTCTGAGGACCTGTCTCCGCTACAGCCAGGATTGTTACTGTGGTGATTGATACACTGGTGGTTGATTTAGTAAGTCTAGTGAAGACCAGCTAAATCGATCACTGGTCACTTGGACATTGATTCTGGTACTCCACCAGAATGAGATGACTAAGTTGAGAGGAGTGTTTCTCCTATTAACCCAACATGGTAGTATCCCCGCAGTAAGTATATTTAAGCTACTTCTGAGTTACACTACTAATGTAACTCAAATTGTGTAGCTTAGATCAATTTGAACCACTAGTGTAGACCTACCCATGGCCCTAGCCCTCAGTAGGGGATCAGTTGTGCCACAGCTCTGCGTAGGGGAGTCATACTGCTCAAGGGAGAACGCCTGGGGAAAAATTAAACTTCCTGCTACATGTGGTAATAGTCTTGCTGCTCTACTCTTTAAAGGGCGCAGCATGCTCCCTCACTGGCCAGCAAGGCCTGCTGACTTGTGGAATGGGAAGGAGTTGGGGCCATGACCTCACCTCTTCACTCTAATTGTCTTTGCAGTGTCACGTGCCCAAAGGGCTCTACAAAAGGGCATTACTTAAGGTCTGGGCAATGCAGGGGCTGTGCCGGCATCCCACTACTGCTCAGGGGGTCTGCCTTCGCTCAGCAACCCTGAATCAGCCTGCCACAAACTGACCTTAAGCCAGACCAAGAGTCATCACCCTATTCCCCTGGAAGACCAGCTTCCCATACGGTATGGATTTCTTCAAAGTTATTTATTTAGTTAGTTATGTACAGCTAGAATAAAAGTTGGTAAACAGATGCTTGAGGGAAGAGCCAAAGATCTGGTGTTCAGGTCTTTCTTCTGAGGATATGGTCATAAATGACTACTTGGAGGTAGAGATCTGTCTCTATAGGCGTCCGAGTTGTGCTGTCTCCCGGGTAAGCCTGTGACACAGAGTATTATAGTTGACCCAACTATCAGGACAGAAAACAAACAAACTATGATCGTTACATGTTTTTCTTTCTTACTTCCCTGAGATACAGAACCTATCAACTCTGCTTGGGCTAGATATGGGTTCTTTAGAATGCAGCTAGTGAATAAATACCATGAACTTATTTTCATTTAGGACTTCCAGGATGATTTTAGCTAAAAGAAATGACAAATTTGTGCAATCAAGTGATCAAACAGTGAGTCCAATTAAAGAAAGCATACAGCATTGGTCTACCTTTGTTCACACTGAAGCCAATGGAAAAACTCCTTTTGATTTCAATGGTAGCCAGTGTTAAGTGCTTTTGAAAAGTCTCTCTCGACTTTGTAAGTGTTATAGGAAAAAGACAGATGAACAGACAGACAATTGCTGGGGAGCTTTAATTACATCTAGGCTGTATCCTGCAACACGCAAATACACAGTACATATTTCTTCAGTGTTTACATTTTTTTAATTATAAATGAGCAAAAATATTACTTGGTGTAGTGCTCGGAGTGCAAGTGTCTTTCATGTTGAAATAAAATATCTGGTTATTTATTACAGATGTTCTCCAGCTGCAGGACATTAGATCAGTGGCCTACTTTCAACGCAACCAAACGCATTTTTTAGGTATGCATTTTTGAATGTCTCACAAACCAATGCACTCATTTTAAAATGTGTATAATTTGATATTGTGTACTGTTGCTATTCATATGCAACCATCTTTCATGGGAAACACTTCAAAGAAACCATTATTCTAGATCTGTTCTGTACAATCCCAAACAAATTATTGCTTGGCTTACTTCACATTGGTTTTGAGACAAACCAAAACAAGGGTGTGTTTGTCATATTCAATTTACAGTCCAACAGCTCAGATGTAAAGTTTAAAAAGTAGCAATCAACATCAGAAGAATATTGTCAATTCATTACAGAGGGACATTGTTTATAAGGTTATAACCCATTCCTCTTCCAGCATGAAAGAAATAATACCCACACAAATTTAAATAGCCTTCAACTATAGCTCAAAATGGGAAACTCCTGTGTAACTTTATTGTGTATAGTATGCTTTGTACAAATGTCTAAACACTTAGGCTGTGTCTAGACTGGCAAGCTTTTCTGCAAAATCAGCTGCTTTTGCGGAAAAACTTGCCAGCTGTCTACACTGGCTGCTTGAATTTCCGCAAGAACACTGACTTCCTACTGTAAGAAATCAGTGCTTCTTGCGGAAATACTATGCTGCTCCCGTTCGGGCAAAAGCCCTCTTGCGCAAATCATTTGCGCAAGAGGGCCAGTGTAGACAGCACAGTACTGTTTTGCACAAAAAAGCCCCGATGGCTAAAATGGCGATCGGGGCTTTTTTGCGCAAAAGCGCGTCTAGATTGGCACGGACGCTTTTCTGCAAAAAGTGCTTTTGCGGAAAAGCATCTGTGCCAATCTGGACGCTCTTTTCTGCAAATGCTTTTAACGGAAAACTTTTCCATTAAAAGCATTTGCGGAAAATCATGCCAATCTAGACGTAGCCTTAAAGTCTTAAAACCTCAGAGAAATAGATCACTAATAGCAGCCAAAGTCAGGTAGGAAAGGGAGCAGACAAGAGAGAAAAGATGTTTTCAGCTGAGATTTGAAATGAAATGGAGAGATGATGAAGCTCAGAAATAGAGGAAAGATGGATGCTCCTGATGGGAGCTTTTGCATCACTAGGGTGACACTGTGCCAGTTCTACCCTCATTTATGTCTGTGCAAGCCCAGTGAAGCACATAGGATTGCTTAGGTGTAATGTAACTGAGGTCAAAATTTGGCTCCAGACATGGAATGACAGAGAGAAGGCCAATGCTACTCTAGAAGAAGAGATGCAGGAAAAGGAAGGACAGACTTTAAGTCTAGAAGGTAGAGTGGAGCAAGTCAAAAAACACATTTTAAAACAAGAAGGGGAATTTGGATGCTGCAAAAAAAATCCTCTCTCAGTTTCCTTGGTACATAGCCTTACAAAAACATCATTATTTTCCCATGTTTGCTTCAATTGTAAATACTTTGTTCTGTGCCAGGACAAAGGCTTTTTACTGTGTGGATGAAACTGACCTACATCCACCAGAGGGAGCACATACTGATAAATTGAGTGAGGGACAGTGTATTAGAGATATTTAAACTGGGGTCTAACCCTTACACTACCATAATAACATCAATCTCCTTCCAGACCTGCATATTTTATGGGAATTTCATTCATTAGGAATTTTGATTCCTCATAACTCCCTTTCTCATACACTACACTCTCGGCCAGTCACTGTGTTTTACAATTTCCAAGTTGATCAGAACCTTTACTGTCATCAGACTGTTTTTGCCTCTTTGGTGACATAAACAAAGCATCCAGCCAACAGATATAAACAAAGTCCTAATTCTGTAAGCACAGACTCACACACTCTGTGATTCCATTTCGTAGAATACATCTGGGAACAAAACAGACAAGGACACATTTCTGAATTTCTTGTTATTTCTATGCTGCACATAGTGCTCTGCTGGTTGACGTGAGATACTTTTTGTATTGAGCCAGAGATAGGGAACCTCGGGCCTGGGGGCCAGATGCGGCCTCTGGCTTGCCTGGATGTGGTCTCGGAGGCTCAGGGCTCCCTCCCCTCCCTGCAGTACTGGGGAGCTCGTGTTTACTGCGGGACTGGAACACACAAAATCTACTGGCCTGGACAACACTAGGTTCTGGTGTGTGAGGGGAATGTGGAGAAGGTCTTTCTCCTTCTCAGTTAGTGGCCACATCAGTGAGGGTTTGTCTTTATTTTTTTCTTCTCAGTTGTTTGTGGTCCCTGATTGATTTTTCTGTGGGTCAGCAGCCCCCAGCCCAAAAAAGGTTCCCCACTGCTGTATTAAGCTGTGAAATGAGAACAAGTTTGGGAGCCTTTGGCTTTAGATTTCACATAGATCCACCAATTTTTTTCAACTTGGGTTCCTGCAGTCAGGCAGCAAAAACCTCTGCAAAATGTATTGAAACGAATGGCCTGATTTTCAGAGGTGCTCGCACAGCCTTTTAGCAAAGGTGTGGGGTTCTGATCCACAACGACCCTGCTCTCTGCGCACTTCTGAAAAGGAATCCATTTTGTTTCGCTTCCTTGCCAGAAAAAACTGCTGGCAGATCATTAATCTGTGATTCCTGGGACAACTGTAGACTTGGTGGTGGTGGATTGCCCAGTCAGGAGTTGGGATTTTATAACTGTTCTATGTCTCCATCTTTGTTCTGAAGGAACTTCGCATTTTTTATCCACTAGAGGGCATATTTCAGAATGGAAAATACAACTTTTAAGTAGGCTCACATTTGGGCCTATCAGCCAAGTGATTAAGGTTGCCAACTCGGATTGAAGCTTTTCCAGGAGATTTTTTCCCCAACATGATGTAATGTCTTTTCTTAAAATATCCTATTAAAATCTGCAGGATAGCCTTCAGGTGTCACTGGGAGATGGATGCTGATTCTAGGGGATTCCGGGCCAATCCTGAAGGCTAGGCAACCCTACAAGATTTGTGCTACTAACATTTTAACAAGCTGCTTCCCTCAACAATTTCCCACCCTACCTATAGATGCATGTCACAGTCTCTGGATAAAATACCTCACTCTCTTCTCTCACTAAAATCTATCTGATCCTTCCATAATCCCGTACCCCTCCCAGGTCCAAATCCATCAGTCCTCCCAAGCCCTCTCACTTCTGCATGAGTACCTTTCCTTCCTCGGCACTTCATTCAGGCTCCTCTAGAGGGCTTCCTTACTCGAAAATCGCAACGTGAGGAAGCAGACGGAAGACCTGCCCTGAGTGTCTCCTGGAGGTGTCTGACTGTAGGGGGATTGGGAATGGGTCCTTTCTCATTCTGGAAGTGGACACAGGTCTCTCCTCAACACTGGGGAGTCTTCTGGAGCTAGTGCACAGGGGCATGAAGGAGCGGATCTCCCTGGCTGTTGTGCAGAAGAATAGGGATTCAGGCTTCCTCCCAATTCCAACTTTTCAGACTCTGGCATTGGAGAAGCAGGCACCAGTGAGAGGTCAGCTGGGCCATGGCAGCTGCACAGTTCACACTCGGTGCAGTAGCAGCTTGGTCCTCCTCATGTGCTACTGACGTGCCTGACACAGCAAGGACTGGGGGGATCTTACCTGCTACATGCCCCATGCAGACATAATGGCACTTGTGGGAAAGACACAGCCACCTCAGTAATAGTAAGAGTGGGCCTCATGAGGAAGGGGTTGAACAGTCTAGCAGAGAAAGCAGGTTTGAACATTCCTAGACAAACATGATCAATTTCTTCTCATGATTATTGCACCACTACATCTGGGGCTGACCGTAAGATTCTAGGAAGGATTAAAGGGATTCACATGACAAACTATGATCACTTAACATAAAAAGGATGTGCATGGGAGCAAGAGAGAATCTTTAGGTCCACTCCTCCCAGCCTCTTGCTGTAGGAGTGGTGTGGGCTGCACAGTCCTTTCAGTCTTAGCTAACAGTTTTTTATGTTTTCACTGCTGTCTTCGCAAGGAGAGACTTGCAGTTAAAAACAGAGTGAGCTGAGGCCAGTTGTGTTAGCCAGAGGCAGCATGCATGAGAGCCTGAAATGTAAGGTGCATACTGATAAGTAATCAGTTTGTAACAGGCCTTTAAGCAGATATGGAATAAAAGAGCCATGCATAAGAGACTCTGAATATCAAAAGAAGGGCTTTACCTTTGGATCCACATTTACTATTTTCCTATCACATTTGTTCTTGAAGAGAATTCCACAAGCATTTTCTGCAATCACTTGGTAATTTGGACTGGAATTTGAAGTGATGACATTTCTATCCCAGTTGTAAAAGCTGTGAAAATATAAAATATAATTGCTATGGCTTTAGTAGATTGCATACTTTCAAATTAAAGGTCCAATTCACACGGCCTTACTCATTCATACAAAGTAGTTCCTTATTCCACAAACAGCCATACTGAAGTCAATGAAACTCCACAGTGACTTTGTTACTGAGTTGTTGCTTTCTTGTTCTTGGGTTCATGTAATTTTGGTAGCATTTTAGCTACTGTAATACAGATCAGGTGCTGAGCATGAGTATCTAAGGGAAAATTCATTAACAGGATAAGGAGCTCCTTCTAAAACATTTCAAATCTGTGAGCGGTTCTGGTATTAATATTCAAATGAGGCTGTTATGCTTACAGGCCCCTTTGTTACATACCATGTGGGTGTCAGTACTAAACTCCAAGCAAGAGAAAACCCACAATTCTGATGTGTCATGTACAAAAGGAAAACACGACAATTCGAGCAATCAGTCTTTGCTCTCTTTCACTCTCTCTCTCTCTATATATTGGCATTTCTGAATTCTAGTGGATTCCTATCTCTTGTTTCCCTCTTTTTAATTTTAAGAAATAATTCTTCGGGCAAGTGACAATGAAACCAGCGAAGAATCTGCCAAGTTTCCTAGCATGTGGGATGTACCAAAATGGCGAGATTCCAGCCCTGCTTCTGCCCACAGTGCCCACAGTGCAGCTGCAGAAAGAATGCTGATTGTATTTTCTTTGTTGGCATGGTAGTGGTGCAGCATGTTACATTAGGGAAATCTAAAGAGAGGAATGTGAGACAGACTTACTTCACATCTCCCAGCTTCAGCAATGCAATTACTAGCACAGGAATTGAAATCCACTTTCTGTCCTTTTTGTACCTGGCATTTACATAGCATCCTCAATCTAAGGACCTCAGAATGCACTGCATATTTGTTATGCTCTGTCCAGGTTACACAAGTCAAGGGCAGAGGTCTGAAAAGAACCCACAAGTCTAGAAGCCCAGTCCTAACCAGTAGAGGGAACCCTGTATCATTGGATGGAGTCTGGTAGCTGTGTCACACCAGTTGCAGACTTCACTGGCCAAGGCTCTTCAGCTGTGACAATCCTGGGGAAAGCTGTAAACTGGATTTTGGTCTCCACTTGCATTGGAATCTAGCTGCTCACCTATTCCAAGGGCGGAGGGGGAATTCACCCCCAAGAAGAGGGCCCTGCACAAAGCCTGGTGCACTCTACAAGTTCACCACACAAGTGTGAGTTGAGATATCAGTGGTGTACAGGAACCCTCACTGCACCAGGGTAAGATTCACCCATCATGAACGAAATGTCTGATACAACCAGGAAAGTGATATTTCCTAGAGACTTTCAGTCACCTGCTGACCAAAAGAAAAAGTGACAGATAGCAGCCGTGTGTGGGCTTTGTTGGCCCAGCACTGGCAACTTAAATCAGCAACAAAAGAAAAATGTTCAGCAAAGCAAAACAGTATAAAAAGGGAGTGTGCCTTACCACCTATCCCACCAGCTTAGATTATACTATAATGGGTTATTTTCTTCATAACAAGAATCAGTTCAGTTCTTCAGTACTCCCGCCCTACCACACATACACCAAGATCAAACAATTCAACACAACAGATTGGGAATTCAGTCAAAAGTTAATTATAAATAATGATAGCTTGACAGTTTGTGGTTCCATGAATTTGCAATTGAGTTATCCAGCTTCCCTTCCTTATAATTTAGCTACTGGCTTTCTGCAGTCAGGCACCAAAGGAAGGGCGCTGACAGGGGAGATATAGTACAATGATAAAAGAAATGGAACTCAAAACCAAAATACCCCTGCTTAACCTGGACAAAATGACATCCTCATGATTTCTGCCCTTCAGTAGTATCATAGTAGTAATGTTTACAATAGGGGGGAAATTGGCATTCTTCATGTGGTTGCCAAATATGACAAAGTAGCAATGAACTTAGATTGGATCTGGCCTGTCAGTCCTTTCCTAGCTTTCTGGGGCAAGAAAGGTCAGTGTCTCAGTAGGACATGGAACTGTGTGATAGAGCACACATGTCTGATTCCCGACCTTATAACAAGATGCATGGCACAGATCCCTGGTTACACATGAACATGCTACTTCTTACAAGACAACAGTTGAAGAGGCCAGGTTTTGACTTTCTTTTTAAATGTTAAGCTGCGTTGATTGAAATAGGTACTTTTGCCAAATGATTGCTATGTGACAGTGCGATTCATAATGGCGCTTTAGAAAACAAAGGCAGTTCAATTTGCTAAATTCCTACTCTGAGTGTAATGTTTTTTCCTGGAGATTTTTACTTTGCTGACTGATGGTAGCACAAGGAGCATTAATACTTGTTGAGAGTTAGCTAAACACATATGGCCTGATTCTTTTCTCTATCTGGTGTAAACCAGGAGAGATTCCATCAAAATCAGTGTGGTGCACCAGGGTAAATAAACATCTGGCTCGCAGGGTCACATTTTGCCTAGAATAGGATGGCAGGAGTCAGAATGCAGCTGTGATTCCACCCACCTGCTAAAAGCTGGACAACTCCTGTTGGATTGCTCTGGGGAAGTACAGATCAGACCTTTTAAAAGGTGTTGCAAGGATCAGTTCTCTGTTTCCCCCAGCAATCCTGGAAACATGCAGGGAAATCCTGACTTTACTGAGATCAATCGCAAAACTTTGGACTTACTAAAATCATTCTTTCATTACCAAGGAAAGGGGATATCATAATATTTGATAGTGAAGAGAAGGAAGGAAGTAGGAGAGCAGCTGTATTATGAGGACATCCAAGTTTTGGGCAAACATTTGGCTTGACTATTTTAGCTGAGCCATTTCCCCCCATCCTTGACAGTAGCTTATCTGGAAACAAAAGCAACAGGACTCTACAGAGTTCTTTTAAAATATATTGAACATAGGGATAATTATTAGTTTCTTTTTCTCATGAATAAAGATGGATAGGCCCTGATTTAGACAAGCACATGTCAGGTGTTTAGGCACCTGAAGATGCAGATGTGTGTCCAATGGGATTTTCAAAAAGTGCCAGGAGCATAATTGCCACTGCCATAAGGGGAGTTAAGCATTAGGCATCTATCTCTAAGTGCCTCAACACCTTTCAAATCTGGCCCTAAGCCCAAATTTAACTTGAAACAATTGTTTAAATTGCACTGAAGTTAGTCCGGACAGCCTCCACTCCAAGCGCAATGAGAGTCCCAAGCTGGATTGCACAATCGCTCCATCCAGGACTGGCCCAAGGCCGCGAGTTTGAGAGTCCTGGTGTGGACAGTTTGAGTCTGATATGTCTCTTCTTCATGGAGTTCCTGAATATTTTCCTTGTAGAAGGAAGCAGGGTTAATATCCATGAATAACTCAACCTCTTACATCAGCGGTGGGGAACCTCAGGTCCAGAGACCTGAATCTGGCCCCCCTGCATCAGGAAGCCTGTGCTGGTGCTCCAGCCCCCCCACTTTCTTATTATCGGGCTGAAGCACATAAAATCTACTAGTCGGGGGCCCCCTGGACTCTGGTGTGTAAGGGGAATGTGGGAGGATCTTTCTCCTTCTAAGTTGGGTGCTATGTGAGTGGGGTTTTTTTGTGTGCGGCTCCCGACTGATTTTTCTGTGGGTCAGTGGCTCCCGACCCAAAAAAGGTTCCCCACCCCTGTCTTAGATCAAAGTTTGATACACTCTCCAAGATGGAAATGGTGGATCTTTGTGAAGACCTCCATTCAAAGCCTTACATAATATATGCATAGCTCTCTCTACCTTTCTTTCTGTGGTTTCTTCAAAGGCTTGTCTTCCTTTTCAATTACAATCTCTTTAGCTACTGAAAAAGTTCAGCTCAGAAAGAATCAATTTAGCAGAGTGAGGCAAACTATCAGACCTTTCAGTCCAGCCCCCAAGGAGCAGGGACTGGAATTGGGACAGCCTTGTGGGGTGGTGCCACCCAACTCCTGGGCAGTGTGGTGAGCAGGGGTGGCTAGCCCCACCTTTGCAACCTCAGCTCCCCGGTGCTCCAGGTGGTATGGTGCAGTCAGGGGGCAGGGAGCTCTCCAGGGGCTTACCAGGTAAGCCTTACTCAGACTTACCTCACTGTTTGGCTGCTTTCTGGTTAGTGCCCCCCATGCTACATCCCATAAGTCCCCTTCCCCATCTCCATAAATCCGCTATACTGCCCCACGGTACACCCCATAGAGCCCTCTCCCCCAACTCCATAACATCTCTTATAGCATCACCCCAGTACACCCATAGAGCCTCCTCCCCCACCTCCATAACATTCGTTATACCATCACCCCAGTACAACCCACAAAGCTCCCTTCCCCTCCTGCCCCCATAACATCCATATTCCTAGCCCTCCATACAATTTCCATACCCAGATGTGGCCCTCAAGGGTAAAAAGTTTGCCCACCATGATCTATTAGAGTTCGTGCCACTAGCCAAACTGGCAAACTAAAAATCACATGTATATGAAAAATCAATACATTTTTTGGCTTTGACTCAAATACATGCACCTCTTCTGAAGCAGTCTTTCTCCGTGCTTGAGAATTGCATCTCTCTCCTGCCCAGACAAAAAGTTTCAGAAGCCTCACTTCCAGCAAATCTTTTAAGTCCTACAGGGCAGGTCACAAAGAGACTCCTCATAAGCATCTGTTCCCTTAACCACTGCAGGTGAGATTTTCAAAGCAATCGAAGGAGGTTTTTAGACACATATCCTCCACTGAAATTATTGAAAGATGCATGTCAGAGTCCACATAAGCCGCTTTGAGACTATCAGTTCAACTTGTACCGCTAACTTGATCAGCCTTTTCAAAGACCCCCAAATACCTGATGTGCTAGTGGTATTTCCCACTGTATTCATCACTATCTACCCACCACCAAGCTGTGGTACAGACCAACGTTGGATTGGTGTAGTCACACAAAAGCCTCCATAGCCTGAAAGGATTTTCAGAAATCTCCAATAGAAGACAATATAACTTGGAGGTGAAACAATGAGCTTATGCATTGGTTTCTTCAGTGTGTGTAGCT